ACACAGACAACCTCTCGTCAATATGCGTTTTTTGCATTGCATTGCTGCAAAAAACGCATAATGAGTGATAAAACCATGTAGCAACGGTATTAATAATAAATTTCTTATGTCCAATATCATAATTTATTAATAACAGAGATAATTCGACTGGTGCAAGCAACTACTCTATGAAGAGGCTGTTGACCGTTTCCTCCTTTTATAAATTTTTTTATTGTCACCAAGATTTGACTCATTTTATTATTTGACTCATTTGACTCATTCATTATTTTATTGTTAGCTAGACACTTAGATTGTTATTCGGTCAACTTATTGTCCTCGCTCATTTCAATATTTTGATACACAGTCATTTTTTCTTCAACATTTTTATTCTTGCTTTTATTTTCCCCTGAGCAGCATGGCTGTAATCGCGGACGAACCGATGACGACAAAACAGGATCAGGGGAGGCAAAAAGCAGGAAGAGAGAAAGTGGAAAGTTGGGTAGAAGAAGGGAAGGGGAAGAGAAAGTTTTTTTTTCAAGTGTTTTCGCCCTCCACACCCCTGCTGGTTTTCCTGAAATATGTTTTGGTCTGTCAGCCTGTTTTATAAGTATTACCCTGCTACTCAATCATGAAAAGTTGTACCAAAGCGCAGCGATAAGAAACAAATTTGGGTTATCACCACTGACAAAACTGACTTTTCAAACTGGCAGCGGTTTTTACTTATAAACAGCACACGTTAGCTAGATTAGCAACTGCACAGAAGGCATTCTCTAGTGAAACATAACCTCAGTCCAGCACTTTAACAGAGTGTTAAATTTAGCTTCTAGGTGCCAATATAACTTCAGATATTATAAGTTTGGAATTGACAGCTACGTCTAAGTTGATTTGAAAAAGAAATTAGCAGCTACGTCACTTGGAGGAAGTTGACTGATTCGTCGATCTTGGCTAGAAAGTAAGTATGCACCATTATCTCCAGCCGAAAATTGCATCCTTTCAGAGCTAATATATAATTTTTAACAATAACTAGCGAAAGTCGAGATCCAAATCAATGAAATTCATGATTTAAAATTATCCTGACCGTCTGATTGATTATCGGCATAAGAGACCTCGATGCAAATACTGAGATGTAACCTCACATCGCGCAGAAAATTATCCTGGCTCTCACGTAAACTTTGGAGCAAAAGTGTTCTTTATGCTTACACTGCGATAGCTTTCCTCCTCTCTTTCGTCACTACTCATGGATTTGCTGGCATCAATGACCTCATAGTCAATTTTCTTGTATTTTCCTCCAGATGGCGTTGTTTTGAATTCTACTGTTGGCAGTACCTGCGGCAGTTCCTTTGGCTTTGGACCACCCTGTAAAACGTTCATTTTTTTAATGTGGTTTTTTGCGTGTCCCTACCCAGAAAGGTCGGCTTACAAAAAAAACGGAAATAATGGAAACATGATCCGCGAGCACCCAAACTTAAAATAAACATTTGGATTTCTCCAACATCCTAGGTCCAAATTTGCCCTAATAAACCAAAATCAAGCTGCATATAAAAAATTCAGCGGATTATTCAGTTAAGGAGAACAAGGTAACTGACCAAATATTAGTTACCAAACCGCTTTCTGATGTGAAATCTCAGACTCAACTGCCTTTATTTCATCGCTTCGAGACGAGTAAGCCAAAAAATTTAAATAGTTTTTTTAGAATGCCAAATTTTTTATCTCGTCCATAAAAAATACGGGCACTTAAAAATATCTTTCAAATATCCTAGGCCGTGTTCAATTACGGATCGGAACTATAAATTAAGAAGGAACAAAATCCCAGAATACTGGGCTCCACTGCATTTCTGCAAGAGCCTATCGCAAAAAACGTAACCGCGCTAGTACCCTCGTAAACGCTGTTACTTGTTTCGTTGACAGGTTTCACTGGATTAAGTTTATACTCATCCTCTTAAAATGCACTGGAATTTTTGGTCAAAAAAAAACACACGTTTTTTTATAAAAAAAACCAAAAATTTTGATCCAGAAAAACTTGGTATTTAGGGAGCTGCGAAAAACTTTGATCCAGATGTTGTTAATGCAGTGTAGCACAAATTGCTCCAACTTAATTAGG